CACAAGTGTCATATTGCCAGTCATAACGAGTGCACGGACAGGCTCGCTCCGGCTCTGCTGCGTGCCCCGAAAGTTAAGTTGTTTGCGTGCACCACCGATGACATGTACAGGTGGTCGCTGCTCTATATGACAGTCCCGCTCGCATAGGTTAGGCGCATTTTTTCACGATTTGATTGACCAGTGTTCTGGGGACCTTTCGTTCAAACTGGCCGGTTCCATTCGAAGGGGTAGGGGGATCCCCTGAAATTGGCACAACGGAGAAGGCCGTTATAGTCTACGACCAATATAGATGATTATGTGGAGATAAGGGGAGTTGGAGCACACAAAGTTACAGCCCCGACTCCGTAGACGTAATCATTAAATCGAACAGGCCAAAGCAGTTAACACAGAGAGAGACCCACTAACTATTCTCCGTTTGGCTGGTTGGCTAGGCTACTCCGCCGAGTTTGCAGCTCGTATGCAGTGCTCGCACGTAAGGAAAGTCAAAAGCCTGGCCAGTAAATTGGAGCATTCTCCCCAAAATAGAGGAGAGAAAAGCGAGCCACTGCCACTGCCATTGCACAGCACTACTCCGAATGTACATTGTTGATTGTACGTGTGGCAGCAACACAAAGCGAGTCGATAGGCCTTGTTGCATAATAGCCGAAAAGCACTTCAGGCCCGATCTCCACTTAGTATTTGAATGTGGCCCACAGCTATGGTCGCGCTACGAAACTGAAAGCAAGCGGCATGCGAGGGGCATGGGGCAGGGAGTTTAAGTGCTGCATATTTCCTGTTTTGTGATACACTTCGAAAATAGGTACACAATTGCCAACTGCTCACTGTGTTTTCATTTTTATTTTCCTTCGTCACCATCTCTCTATCGCCGCCTACCCAAAGCAACCGAATCTGTCACGCCGCTGAACTCTGAAATCGAAAATGATTAATTCCGAAGGCACTGAAAGATGCAGCTTACCCGCTGAGTGATGATTGCAGCTAGCTAATATCAATATCGATACTAATGAACTTAGTTGGCAGATGCAGAGCTGCCCTGCAGAACCGACCAGAAGGACTTGCTTTTAATCTACTGACCTGACTCACGTGTCGAGCTAGTGGCTCTCTACCTATAGCTGATTCCAAAAAAAAATAATGTCCCCAACCCGCATTGCGCTAAGGCGGTAAGGGGACTCCCATGTGCATTTTTATCTGGTATATCGACTAACCCCCAAAGACTGGGACTGTTGCCAGGAAGTGCAGCTGTCGGCGGAGACTTTTCCTTTAGAAAGGAAAAGCTCACGCCGAAATCGAAACTGATTCCTCTGCCAGCTTCCTGCGCGTGTAAGCATGCAAAGCGGCGCTCCGTTGTGGTCACCTGGGCCACGTTTCGTAATGGGAGAGATGTTGGTATGCAACAATCAATTGGGGCGGCCGCCTTTGCTATTGCCGCTCTTCGGGCCCTCCCATTGATTTGTGCAGTCGATTGAAAATGAAAACAAACGAAAGCCTGACTTGGCTCAGCCAGCACTCGGCAGTCCATGATTTATATTTCCGTCTTGCGGGTGTGCTGTGTGCTGGGCTGAGCGTGCGTTTAATTGCGGACCGCACCCAGCGAATCAAAAGACTTAGGCAACAAACTTGGGTGCTCACCGCTGGTCAGCCGTGTTAATTAAAAGTTCAAACCCGAAACACGCGAATGGAAATTGAGCCATCAATTGAGGCAGTAACTTTGCTTGGTCAAAGACTAGACAACTTTCAAGTTGCTGCAGAGAGAGTAATTAAATCAGATTGGGACTTTAATTGAAGAGAAAGGTGCCCCGAAGCAGTAAGAATAATAGTAGTAGAAAACAGGCATTACACCATCCCATTAAGCAAATCAATTTAAAGACCTTTCTACAACAGACCCCTTTCAGCCATTTCAATGTGGTCAAATGGCTCATTACGGCCAAAATAAATCAGATCTCGAGGTTGCATCTGACGCTGCCAAACGAGGTGGCAATTAGTGCAATGCTTCGCGCCATTTGTCTAAATTTGGCCATGCTATTGGCGGTTGCTGATTTTATGGCTTCAAATAAGTAGGAGGCAGTGTTGAAATGCCGTCTTGCCGGCCGCTACCTAACGGCTTTTGGGCCGCCGAGCTGTGACACATCGTCGCCGCGCCGTCTGTTGGGCCAGGCGTTGGTACCGTAGACCCTCGTTAAGGCCCAGAGAGACATTAAGCAAATGGAGCTTTGCATAAATTAACACCTTTCTGTGCGGAACCGCTTAATCAAAGGCAACAATTGTGAGATACACGGCGGTTAGGCCCGATCTCTTAAACTCATATCAAGCGTTATCGCACAGCGCGCAGGCTTACTTATAGGCCATAAATATTCAACATATAGATACATACGACTTTTTATTGGTTTTAAATGCCCCGCGATCATCTCTCAAGCAGCGGCATTCAAATAAAATTGATAATAAAATACCTGAAGCTGATCTTCAGCAAGTTGTTTTCAAGCTAGACGCTTATTTACCACAGCAAAGTGCCGTGTTTTATGGCCGCTTCCGACTGACACGAAAGTCAAGTTGCTCATCAAGCCGCATTTTACGGCTGAGAAGTTGTTGGTCGAGTGCACTTTCGGCACAACAAATGAAAAGGCCATGCAACCTGCAAAGCGGGTTGAATGTTAGCCTACCAGGCAGATGACAGTTACTCTCCGTAACTTGCAGTTCAGCGGAGCTCAGGTGGATTCGCTTCCAGGGAATTCTGAGAGCTTCTCTTGCCGAACTTATTAAACACCAAATGAGGCAGCATAAATAAGCCGGTGCAGGCGACAAACGCCAAGCAAAACAAATCAGGCTTATGCTCGAATTATTGCGAGTTGCATAACAGCGGACCAGTCAAGCCTCGGCATTAGCTTCAGCTTTAGCTCCGGCATCGGCTTCAGCCGCGGCGTTAGCTCCGCTTGTACGTCAGAGCTTACAAGTCGTATTGTTTAGTGGAGCAGAAATTACGATTGCATAGCATAGTCAGCATAGCCTAGCGGCGACACAAACGCAATAACAACAACGAACGGTCAACAAACAGCAAACAATCAGTGGCGACTGCCAAGTGCGGGCTGTGTACTGTTGGCTGCGGAGTGTGGAGTGTAGACTGTGGACTGTGAACTGCCCGGCCTAATACAAATGTCATCCGTGCTAGACTCTTGCATGATCAATTGCCATTGGCACGTGATTGGCTTTCGTTGTGCGCCAGCCAGCGCCGTATATCAGTCACTCAGACTCGGCCAATGTAGCTACCTCGGACCACATTTTCACGCGTTACTTACACAATTTGTGGAGCGCGCCGACCCCGTTGCATGCGAAGTAGATGCCCTCCCAGAGCCTTGACACTCTTTTGGACTACGCAGGAGACGAATCTTAATGTTCCACAGTAGTTGCAGATGGGTGGGCGCCTTTCTCCTCTCAGCGGGATCACCGACAACGTTTGTCATGTGCTGCGAATTAGCAATTCATCTGCGACCAATTATAAAATGTCCATCAGGCGAACACTACGACCGGGTTTCCTAAGTACTCGGGGAGTAAAGCCAAAGTGAATGTCCATAACCTTATAGCCAAAGCGTAGCGGTCTCATTAAACGGCAAAACACATTGGTTTGCTTTTTAATCGTGCCACTCGTGACTGGTCAAAAGTGCAGCATAACGGCGTTGGAAGCTGGCTTATTATAGAGTTTTGTAGGACAACAATTAAATCATATCTAAAGTTAGCCCCAGTTGTGGCTTTAGTTGTGTCTCTATGGAAAGTGATACCTGACTTCAAGCCGAGATGTTTCAAGCACGGGGCTGGGCTGGCCGCTTATGCAATTTTATCTGAAGCCGGAGGCTTTTTAGCCTGTCTAATTTATCGGCTATCATCGGTAAATAAAACACAGACCGTATCGGTCGCTCCTCCGTTCGCCTTTGAACAGCCTTACTTGCCGGTGGTTGTGCAGCACTTAATCTGCAATAACTCTGATTGTAAAGAATTGATTTCAATTGAATTCAAATTGAACCCCAATTGTTTGTCGCAATCAGTTTTATTTTTTAGTCAGGGCCTCGTCGAATCTCCCACTTCGAATGGGCTTTTTTCTGAGCCACAAACTCATTCTGTCCTGAGCACCGCGCTTTGAGGTCAGCTCTTATTTGGGTGCAGCTACCTTTTTGAAGCATATGGCGAGCTTATAACGGCACGTTTTTATAATTAAAACTTTTTTGGACCCGCGAATTGTCGCCACTTGATGGCTGATTCAGAGCAAATCGGTCTGCAGGCGACATAAAATTTTGGGACTTATTTTTTGCGCCCCTTTTGGATGCTGGGTACTGGTGATGTAGATTGCCATAACGACCATAAATTGCGTGTATTAAGCAACTACATGTAGCATTCTTTCTCCTGACGGCTCGTGGGCCAAGCAAAGCTCTGTTTCTCAATTAACATTCCAGCGTCGAACGCCGCGAAACAACACAAGTAACGTGCCTCAATATGCGATAATCGAGGGGAATAAACTTTAAATGTTCCGCACTCAGAAGGTATTAAAACTGGAGTGCCAAAAAGAACTTCGCCACTCACTGGGTTAACTGCTTTGATATCCTAAGAGAGACATACAGAACTTCCCCGATCGTAAAGGCCACCGCATTCCAGAAGCGGCAGTTTCTTAGTTTATATATATATATAAGCACATATAGCTGGTGCTGTTAGAAATATATATTATAAGTATTGGCATTTGGCTGCGAGTTCGAGAAGGTCAAGCAAAGCTACAACAATGATCAGCAGAAACTCGGCAATTCCACCAAAGATTCACGTTTGCATGTGCAAGGCAAATAAAACCGTGACAGCCTATGACCGAGATGTTGCCTTTAATCAGCCAAAGATGTTTGGCTCCGATACGATGTGACAGCCAATAAACACACTTGACATCTTAGGGATTATTTCCCTTTACATTAATCGAGAATAATTGCCTTAAATGCCCGTTAATCCTCCTCTAACTCTTCCATTCCTGCACCTAGGATCCACAGAGGCACAGAGCAAACGAGCTTCACGCATCACCAGCTCTCGCAGCTTCGGCACCAACGTTAAGCCCACCAGCTCCAATGGCCTTAGCTTCGACTGCCCCGAGGAGTTCGGCTACTACCCCCATCCTACGGACTGCACCCAGTACTATGTGTGCGTCTTCGGCGGCGCGCTGCTCGAGAGCTGCACCGGCGGCCTGATGTACTCGCACGAGCTCCAGACCTGCGACTGGCCCCGTAACGTGGGGTGCGAGCTGGTGGATACCTCCTCGGAGCGAGGACCCTCGCGTATCCAGGGTCAGAGCCAGGCACAGCAGCAGCAACAGCATGTACCCAGCCGAGTTCGCTTCGGGGCAGCTTTCAGCAGCCCGGCCAGTACACCGAAGGCACCCACAGTGGCGCCTCAGTACCATCGTTCGCCCCCGCAGGTAATTCAGGCACAGGTGCAGCACATCCCGCCGCCGCCACCAGAGCTGCGAGTGCCGCCCAATCCAGTAATCACGTCGCGAGGTCAGCCAAAGGCACTGCTCGATTCCCAGGAGGACATAGCAAAGGTTCGTAAAGCTCGTAGTCATAAACTTTTGCGATTGAAAGATAGGTTGACTTTCGGACCGACTTGCTCTAATTATAAACAACTTTTTACAATTGAGTTTTCAAATCAAAATTATCATAATTAAACTTCAGTTGTACGCCGATGCTCAGGAGACACTGCCCCCCGTGGAGGAGGAGGAGTCCGATCGACAGCAGCGAGTGTACCGCGGCCAACCCAGTACCGTTAGTCAGGTGCAGCGCGATCGCGACGGAATCATCCACCAGGCCAGTATAAATGCCATCCCGCAGGCGGGCAAGATCGGATCGTATGCCTTCGGAACGGCCTACAGGTAAGCAGTCACTCCTCTATTGCGTCACTGCAACGTAGCTAGCTCTCAGCTCTCATTTATCGCTTCCAAATCGATGTCACCTACTACTTCTGATGCTAAATCAAGTCAAAATTTTATGCAACTCATCATATTTCATGCTCTTTTCTCTCATACAACGCATACTGCACTATCTCTAAATCTTGCTCCAATTGACACCGACACAAATACATTCCGAAACCGAACCCGACAACCGGACCGTTGAACCGCTTTTGGATAAAACTGTACGCAAACAGCGAAAGCTTGAACGAAGACCAGACGCTTGAATTCAAACTGTCCCACAACCGACTCCGCCGGGACCTCACCGGAGTCAAGGTCACGGAAAGTTTGCCCACAACTCGAACAGACACCGAGAATCCAAATGATTCAAATACGTCCAGCGAAGTAGTGGAGCCCGACACCTTCACTATTCCTCCGATAAGCAGCGAGGACTCAAACTGTTCCAACAACTCACAAGAACGCGACGACGAGGCGGCGTCCACCGTCACCAAGCCACAGAAATACTCCTCGAAGATCAGTCAGCCGAAGGGAGAACTCACCATGGAGTTCGATTACGAACAGGAAGCGGATGCGGATGATGAGGCAGCCGAAGACGGGGATGATGCGGCCACGGGCGAGTCCAAGAGGCGTCCCCGGCAGCTGAGGCCCATCTCACATACGTCCTCAAAGTGGCCGGGACAAAGCTACCGCGCCATTGACGCACCTCCTCCGCCGCAGGCGTACTCGCAGCAGCAGACGGGCTACACCTTCGGCAGCTACAATCCCTACCTCACACCACCCAACCACGCCCACAGTCCACTGGCGTTCGGCAACACTCACAAATATAACCAGTTAAGTCCCAGCTATCAAGCTTACATGCATCAGCAGCAGCAGGTGGCCCCGGCGGGTTCTCATCCCCAGAACAAGCCCAAGGTCGTCTACACAGGCTACAATCTGTCGCTGCCTCCGCCTCCGCTGGAGGATGACTTTCGGCCCATTGCAGGCAACTACTACGGAGCATCAGGACCGGGACAGAGCAGTCCGCGGCCCCTCAACCCCAACCAGCAGCAGCACTCGAATCCTGGCGACTTATTGCCCTACCTCATACAGCAGCTGAAGGACCTCAAGGAGCGGCGCAAGCACCTACAGGCTGAAAATTTTGCCTACTTTCATCTGGACAATCAGCCAGTGAGCCAGACATCTCCTTCCGTCGGCACTTCGCTGCCCGCTCCCAGCACTACAGCGCGAACCCCCTTCAATCCCTATTCGCCCGTTGATCCTTCGAAGCCTCCCCAGCTGGTGACCACGAACGGTCAGTACAGCACCATGGGCGGATTCTACAATAACCATCAATCGGACCAGAGTTCCTATACGTCTTATCCCGGTAAGCTGGTCTCCCAGTACAGCATAGGCTCGGCTGACGGCCAGCGAGGCAGCACGACGGAGAGCAACTACTTCCAGTACAACATTTTAGCCAACCAGAAGATGAAGGGTGTCTTCAGCACCGCCCAGCCCACCCACAACCAGATCGGACACGCCGCCGTGAAGGTACGGCCCCCGGTGACTCCCCTTCAGGTGACGCAGAACATCAATGTGGTATCGGCTCCGAACCTGGCGTACAACAGCCCCAACAGCCTACAGCAGGTTCCATTTCGCGACTTCTCCCACCTGCCAGTGGGCATCAGTTACGCCAGCAACAGTAGCTTACCGGAATCGTACCAAACTTTTACAAAGTCGATCACCTCCACACAGGCCCCGGCGACAAACACAACCACGTCCAAGTCCCAGCTGACCAATTTCCAGTTTAACATCCATGAGTTCATGGCCAACCTGAAGTCCAGTGATTTGGCTAGTGTCAACCCGGCAATAAACCCGTTGATAAAGTACTTCAAACAGGTCAGCAGTGACGGGAACGGCATTCGCAACGCGCTGGTGCTCCGTCGACCCGTAACGGCCACCACGAGTTCAACCGACAGCCCAAGTACGACCACCCAGATGATTCCGACCACATCGAGCCCATTGGTGCAAAAGACCCGACTAAGAATGAAACCAACAGTGCCCACGCCTTCCACTCCGACCACGAAAAGAACTCTCAAGGGCTATGAGAGCTTTATTAGGGGAATACAGAACCAACTGAACAAGCAAGCCTCCTCCAGTCAAAGTCCCACCGCCAGTTCGTCGAGCATCACTTCTAAAGTAACGACCACGCCGCCGTCGACGACGACGACCGTTGAAAACATCGACTATTACGACGAGGATTACGAAGAAGACGCGGATATTCTGCCGCCATCGCAAATGCCGCCTTACATGCCCATGTCGGAGACTATGGCTCCTCCCCGCCCACAAATGGCCACAGTTGCTTCCATCACGGAGTCCCCGGGAAAAGCACAACCCAACTTTCAGACCGGCTTCCTGGAAGCTACAACGACGCGACGCCCGTTCCCTAACTTCTCAAACCTGAACCAGCCAAGTGCCGAGTCCGGCGTACCGTCATTCATCAACTTTCCCAGCGACATATTCCAAGAGCTGAAGCAGCGACTGCCCCAGCTGCCAGAGGCCAACACACTCCCGCCCGGCCCTCGAGTTACAGCACCACGACTAAGCATGCGTCCGACATCCAATCCCAAATCAATCACCTCCAACACGACGCCGGCGTCCACGACGCAAGTGCGCTATACAACTCGTCCGCGAACGAGAGGACAGCAAAAGTGGATGACGATGGCCCCAGCCAGCCAGGACCCAAGAAACGACACCAACAATACCCCCGCCGTGGCCAGCAAGCACAGTAACCTGGGCGGCCTCCAGCTGAATTCCATTCATGTGGGTTCTGGCGCGGACAGACACAGGTACCTATAAGCGAGCCGAGGCATTCGCTACTACTATCCGCTGCTAGTTGTGCCAGTTACTGTGTGCCGCTACACAAATATACACAGAAATCAGTGAATACAAGGAACAGGCCATCTATGTACATATATAGTATATACTGCACGCCCGTCGACCCATCTGGCGACATTACTGCCTATACATACGTCTACCTGGACCCGTAACTAAGCGATCTCACTGATCAAACTTACCAAAGCTGTACAGTTGACTAAACAAGAGTTCTCTGGACGTGGATACGCTTACGTTAACTCTCTAATGCTCTAATTCTCTCTAACTCTAACTGTAACTCTAATTTTAACTATAACTGTAACTTACTAACTATACTAACAAACTAACTACTATAACTAACTCTAACGTAAAGCTAAATACGTTTTTCTGCTCCCACTTGAGCTCATCACATTTCCGTTATCTGTCTTTATTTGCTATTATTTGATTTGAATTGTTTTTGATCTCGTTTTACATTCTTCTCTCCTGTTTACGAACATATATATCATCGTCATTACCTCCTCATAACCACCCATATTAATTGTTGTGAATTTTTGCCAATGTAAATAATCAACGCTCCCTACACGACAACACCACTACCATCACACCTTCAACAACGAATACAACAAAACAAAAATATAACTGAAAAATAACTACAACGTGTACAGAGTTGAGTCATCCTCACCGTCATCGCTAGGGGTGCCGCCACCCGCTAATATTTTTGTACAGCCGACACCACAAGCTCCATTGCCACAGATAGAACCCAATCGTAACTATTACAATGCATCCATATTTAATCATGGGGGCGGCTACCAACAACAACAACAACAAAAATCGCAGCAGCAACAGCAGCAGCCACAACAACAACAGCTACAGCCAACACCATTCCAACAAGTGCAATCGCAATCGCAATCGCAACCGCAACAACAGCAACATCAGCAGCAGGCACAAGCCCCCCAACAACATCCCTATGATTCATCATATTATTCTGTTTACGACGATGATATTGATTTATATAGGGACCTCGAGTACCAGCAGCAGCACCAACAGCAGCAGCCGCAGGAACAGGAGCAGCGACAGCCACCCAGCACCCAGCATTACCAGCCTGCAGTGCGCCAGCAACAGCAGTCCACCTACCGTCCCCTAGAGCACTCGGCCACGCCGACTCCGACCCAGAAGTCTGCCTACGGCAACCAACCCACCTTGAGCTACAGCACCGACTACGACGATGATATAAATGCCCAGGTAGTTGTACAAATAAGTTATTATTTGAGTTCAAATTCAAGTTGTGATAGTTCCATTCCTTCTTTCCTTGTTTAAAACAGTTAATAGTTACAATTATATCATGTAAGTAATAAGCAACTTTGATCTTCTTTTGTAGATCGAGCAGGACAACTTGTACGATCAGCCAACACGCTCGCCGCAGAGGTAAGTAAAATTGATCACCAGCTTAACTTCATAAATTAGGTTGGAGCATTTCGAAAGAAAACCATCCACCGAAAAGAAAATTAACCGGCACAGAAACAGTCAGCCTTGCAGAGAACCTTAACCCAAGTGCACTGAGGAATACCTCAGACTAGATAGCGTCCCCTGCCAATATCATCATAATCATTATCACAAACACATCCACACACAGCCTTAAACACAAACAGCCGCACACTGCATCAAAATTTAGACACCACAACCAAATCAATACGAATACACCCAAAGACAATGCATTTATCTACCAGGCCGGAGCAGGTGGCTATTCAGAGACTGGATGTCAGGGCGACACCCTCAACGACTCCTGCCTCACGCCCTGATGGCCGCACCTACTACGACACGCTTACCACGCTATCCGATGCCCCGGGCGACTACAGCTACTCCAGTTCTGCGGAGTATGCGTACGGCTCCTCGTCAGAGGACTACGATCAAAGCGATCGCACTGTGACCCGAGTCCAATCCTACGCCAAGACGGATGACTATGATCTGATCGCCAATGTTGTGGGTCCCACCAGTAAGAGCTCCACACCGGCTCCGGCGCCTATACGAACCACACAAAACACGAAACCATCGACGACGGCGATTAACAAAAATCCGACCAAGAGTTCCATCGGCACCACACAAAATTTTAAGGGCACTAAGTCCACAACAAGAACAACTCCAACTCCAACTACAATAGCAACCACACCACAGCCCACGACAACAACAACAACAAAAGTAGCAAGGTATTATCACCAGTTGATAGCGAAATGAGCGCCAGACACAGGTCTTTCTCTGACAGTCGCCTTCTAACGCAATCGCCATTTAGTAACTAGCCGGCTTTCAGTGTTTTAGTTTAGTTATTTATTTCTAAACTCTCATTTCCGCCATACGCACACGTGCAGCTTGCGAGTTCGTCAACAATTATACAGAAAACACACAACTACACAGACTCACTCACAGCCATTTATGGTCAGGGACTTATCAAAGGAGCTCACTGATGTCTATGGCATCAGCAGTGCGCCTAGTACGGCATTTCCTATGATCAGCCATCGATCCGAGACTCTGCTGACTGTTTAAACTATTTCTATCCCCCTGGAATGTGATTAAGTATCCGTATACATTGCATGACTACTCATAAGATAACTCTTAGCAATCGCGCATGAGCATGCATATATTCGTAATTAGCAGCTATGGGATGATCGAAACAGATAACCCAAATGAATTTCGAAATCTGAGAACCAAAAGGATAGACAGATAGGACCCCAACACACTTAGCCCTAAGTTACTAACACCTATGCGATTACTTATTTAAATACACGTCTCTTCTACAGCTCAAAAGCGCATGCAAATAAGCCATATAAACAACAAGTTTCCAACAAGTTAAAGACAACCACCACCACAAAAGCTCCCAGTACAACACATCCCAGTCCCGCCACCACAACCACCTCCACACCACTCCCATCGAAACCTTCGTCATATAGTTCGAACCCCTTTCTCAAATCAAAGCTACAGAGCCTGGCGAAGTCGCTGGCTTTCTTTGTATCAAACAACCAGCCACAAGGCCCCAGTAGTACCACCAGTTACCGCCAGTTTCAAAACCTTACACACTCCCTCCGACAGTCCACAGTTAAAGATCCTGTTCCAGATCCACTTTTTGTCCCAACTCTTCCCCTGTAAGCCTTTTGCGTTCAACTACGCAGGAGCCTCTGGTGGAGAACAGCCTAGGCAAAAGTCAACTTCAGCATGTCGAAACGGTCTTCGATGAGAGCCAGAACATTCACGTTCAGACAGCCGAAGTGCCCAGGAGCCGCTCATTCGAAACGAGCACCTCCACATTCCTGGATTTTATTAATGCCGCCGCCTACGGCACGAGCCCGCGTGGCAATCTGCTGCACTCGGTGCCAGAAAAAACTTTGAAACCAACGAGCAGGGAATTTATCCCATTAAAGGGCCATGACTTTGAGTCAAGTTCAACAGAGCCGGAACAACAGCGCAAACGCATTCAAACCTACATCACCTCCGACGTGGCGCCCCAGAGTTTCAGAGTTACGCTTAGCGATAAAGTGATGGCGCCGCCAGATGATATGACCAGCGATAGTACTACGCATCCAAGTAGACCAATTCAATATAGTCTGCAAAGTGGATCGAGTGGCTTTAGCTTACGCGTGAAGCAGGACCAAAGTGAGACTAATGACTCTGAGCCATCCCTCTTTGTGAAGAAAAAACTGTCATCAAACACTACCAGCACTCCTAGGCCTACTTTAATTACCACCCAATCTGAGCCTTCTGAGGATTATGTGGAGATTGTCCCAACGACGTATGTCCCACCCCTGCGCATTTGGCGTAATGGCAGACCCACCATTCAACAGGCGTTTTACAGGCCAACAACCAGCCCTGCAAGTTCGACATCAACTACAATTTCAAATACAACTACAGGAGCTCCGCTCACGTCAACTGTTAGTGTGGAGACCAGTAGCACCATTAGAAGCACTACAACACCGAAGATCCAGGGGCCACCAAGCACCGAACGTTATACGGCACCAGCGGCAGGTCAAAGCTTCTCGGCCCGCGCCAGTTTCTTAAGGGATAGCCTGAACCGAGTGACGGCCAACCCTGCAATTCGATTCGTTTCTCCATACAAGAGCCTGGAAAACTTGCTGCAGGAAGACCGTCAGCATCAGCACCAACAATTGCGGACGACCGCTAGACCACGTTACACGAACGCACCCGCTTTTCCGTCCTTCCTTCAGAGTACCACCAAGCCCCCAAAAAATCTCTTCATGACCGCCTCTGTAAGAAACACCAGTCAAGAAGTTCTGGCCACAATGGCAACAGGAAACGCCCGTAATTTCAGTGTGAGTGACGCCATCCTCAGCACATTCAGCCCACAGCGACCAGCTCCGAACATGCTGCGAACCACTTCCAGTACAACTACAACATCAACCACGACCACCGAACCACCAGCTCCACCAGAAATGACGACCATTGCAAGCAGCACAACAAATGCTTTCGCAGTTGTTGCCTCTTCTTCCATCCGCGTATCGCGTCCTCGGGGCCGCTCGCGATACACGGTAGCCACTCTGAATAGTCTGTTGGATAGCGAGGACGAACCCACGACTTATGCGCCCAAGTTCAAGTTGCCCAGCGGGTACGACACAAGCCCGTACCAAAAACGAAAGCCCCTTCGTGTCAGGGTGATTAGTAACCAAAGGCCGCTTTTTGGTGCTGCGCCTACTGCGAAGCCGCAGGAAAAGTACGAAGCCTACAAGGCCGCCTTGCAGGCCAAGGACTCCTCCGTATATGGTGTCTCAAGTGTTTCGGCCAAGTCGCTAAGGCGTAAGCCCATTGAAAACGGCGCCAATATTCAAGACGAGCCTCGTGCCGAGGCGTTGATCAGCCAGCACCCGTTGGAGGTCAGGCAGCAGAACAGCTTGGAAGAGACTGGCACGGCGGCGGCGTCCAGCTCCACTGAGCACGTCGTGGCCATAACAGATCGCCCCACCGGAAAATTTCTCTACTCCAATAAATATCGCCAGCAAACGGCGGAACGCACTCTGGCGGAGAGCCTTCAGAATGCGGGCTACATCACAGCCTCGAACGGACGGCCCCAGAAGTTCCGATCGGCCAACGTGATCGAGCAGCTCAGGCAGTTACTTGTTGGGAGCGACAGCAACAGCAATAGCGACGAGAGCGGCACGTCCCAGTTCGTAGACGAGTATTCCGTGCCCGATATAAAGGCGGCTGTCGATGAGATTAAGCAGCTGTACTTGCCCACCGACCGATCAGCCTCGAAACCGAGCACGACTACGCTGCGTCCTACCACAACGCTCATTCCTCCACCCCCTCTACCCTCACCCCGACCCACCGCCACAGACTCTGTGACAGCCAACCTATCCAAAGCGAACTCCTTTTCCTCCTCCTTTAGCGCCTCGATCACTGATCCCACTCCAACTGCAAGAACCCCCCAAAGCACCCTCGATGTTAGTACCGCTAGAATCCCGACAGTCTCACCAGTTTCTCCCAACCCCAACCCCAACCCCAACCCGAACCCGACTCCAAAACCGACCCCTGCCACCGCTACACCCTCCATGTTTGCACCGCTCACTGCGCGCGCTTCTAGGGTTAACAGTGTGATAAAGTCGTCGATTGCCGCCGCGGCCGCACAGGTTGGTCAGTCCGGCGTAGGTCCTAGCCCCTCCACCTATCAGCTGCAAGTGGCGCCGGGCAAGGCCCACAAATTCCAATTCGGCTCCGCCCCCAACAATAAGAACCAACACCAACACCAAGCAAGCAGCAGCAACCCTAATGGCGCCGCAGTCTCAGCTTCAGCCACGGTGAAGTGCTCTGACAGCACACCGAACGCCAAATGCAACGAGATCCCTTCAAGGTATAGATACCCGTACAGATTCCGACTCCTCTAAGCTCAGTCGATCCCAGCCATCACTCTACTCTCTGTATCCGTATCGCTCTCTCTACTATGTTACTTCTTTTAGCATCACCGTAATTTCGTTTTGAACACATCCAACCATAGTCATAGCCCCCACTGTACTGTACTTTATTCCGTACTGCTCCAAAGCTTTCTCTAGTCTCATTTCTACCCACAACATATCCACCCACCTCTAATCTACGTACTTAGTCACTCCCACTAGGCTAGTGTTGATTGTTGGCTTACTACAACGCCCACCGAACAGTATTCGTTCGTATTGTGCTCACAATAACGTCCACTCTCACTTGAAAATCGTTTCGCTGGAATACTGGCATAGTACAAGGATACACATAAGTACATACTAAATTTTAGCTGCTGTGTAAAATGTTGCTATAGACCTTGGTATATCAAACCGTAGACGTTCGTTAACCGCTCTAAATTATAAATAAATTATATTTGAACCGGTGGTGGCCCGTAAAAGTAAAAACGAAAAAGTAAATTCACAAACATTCTTTATATTGATATTTATGGTTATTATTTCGTTGATTTAAAGTATAAACCGGTTGCCGAATCAAACCGAAATTGCACTGGCTGTGAGAACTAAGAAGTTTGAAAGGACAAAACGCAAAACTTTAAGAACTTTCGACCAACAAATTTTTGACATTTTTATACTTTTTGAAATTGGGCTCAGAACGAAGGAAATTTAAAGACGCAAGCAATATAAGCACATTTTACCGAGTCTAAATTTAGTAGATGCTTTTGTGTCGCAATCTGAGACATTTTGATGGAAAAAATCGACCAGAGATCTGTCAAAGATTAACGGGGGATCACAGCGGTCGTTTGAATACTGATTTAATATAGCTGTCATCTATCTCTCAGTATTTTATACATTGTAAATCTTTTGTCTTCTTCTTAGTGTTCCTGCGGTCTTAACACAAAATTACACACATTCGTCTTTTCTCAGCCTGTATTTACCACCGTCAAGCAAGTCAAGTTCCAACACGTAACACATATAAGTATGCTATACAACTTTTGGTTCTCACTGTTTAAAAATAGGATGAATTGAAGAATTGCCTGGTTTTTTGGGTGGTGAAGGTATTATCACTGTTACTATTACTATTATATTGTGGGCGAAATACTAACAACCATTGCGTTATGTTTATATAATAACTAATCCTGCATCTATATGTATGTCTGCCTATTTGTGTAGCACCAACTAGTAAATCTACTGGCAGCAATTGTAAATTGTTTTGAGTAGAGCAAATCTCTCTTTTTACCGACCTCAAACCAAAGCTATTTTCCCTAAAGACCTAAATAAATATATGCAAAATATTATTTTTGAAACAACAATAGGAACAGGGGCAGTGCTATTTACGCAAACCAGAACCGGGACGTAATCGCCACACCGAACCGCGGAACTCATCCACCGTAAGCACAGGGTTACGCGAAAAATGCATCCCAGTGAATCTAAATGAAATCTTCTCTCCAGACGAACCCGGCCTACACTGAAGCCGTCGGGTACAATTGTGTCGAAGGCCCAGGAGTTTGTTGACATATACCGATATCCCCCAAGTCGACCAGACCCCATTTACCCGCAGCCAACACCCGACAAGACCGCAGCCAAGTGCCGCAAGGATGTGTGCCTGTTGCCGGACTGTTACTGCGGAGGCAGGGACATACCTGGTAAGTGTAAGCCTGGTTAAATAGACATAATTTTTGATGTAGAAAGTGGCCGAAATTAATGACATGTAGGCGGTCTGAGCGCCGCAGAGACGCCGCAAATCGTACTGATGACATTTGACGATGCCGTCAACACCATAAACATCGACCTCTACCAGGAACTCTTTAATAATATGTCCCGGAAGAACCCGAACGGCTGCCCCTGGCGCGGCACCTTTTACCTGTCCCACGAATGGACAGACTATGGCATGGTGCAGGATCTCTACTCCGAGGGACATGAAATGGCATCACATACCATTTCGTAAGTTGTGCCGCTTCAGCCATGGTTACTGCCACGCCACCATCGTCTGCATTAGTTTCCCACTCGCTTATGTCTATTTATTCTGGCCTCAGTTCTCTGTCTGCCAATATTTTCTTGATATAGTTTCATCCACATTCCCCATCTGCATTGCTAGGCGAGCTACCGGTCGAGAGTATCCCCCAAATCGTTCTCTTGACCTTTGACGATTCAGTAAATGACTTGAACAAGCAGTTGTACACAGATCTCTTTGAGAAGGGTCGTGTTAATCCCAATGGCTGTCCAATCACAGCCACCTTTTACGTCTCCCATGAGTGGACGGACTACAGTCAGGTGCAGAATCTGTACGCCGATGGACACGAAATGGCTTCCCATACAGTTTCGTAAGTAGATGGAGCTCGGCTCACGACTAAGATCCCAGACACAGAAACACAGCAATGACAACAACTAAAAGCAGCACCAAGTCGAAGTAGTTAAAGCAGTTAGTGAAATCGCCCTCTACACTGCACCAATGCACTATTCAGGATTACTAACCCATATCCAAATCAAAATCCACTGCTAAATTAACAAAGACAATGCAACTGAATAAGCCGAGTATTCTAACCACATTCTTCTACAGTCACAGCTTCGGCGAGCAGTTCTCGCAGAAAAAGTGGACCCGTGAAATTGCTGGACAGCGGGAGATCCTATCCGCATACGGCGGTGTCAAGCTGTCCGATGTGCGGGGCATGCGGGCACCGTTCCTTTCCGTGGGCGGCAATAAGATGTACAAGATGCTGTACGACTCGAACTTCACCTACGACTCCTCCATGCCTGTCTACGAGAACCGCCCGCCCTCCTGGCCCTACACCCTTGACTACAAAATTTTCCACGACTGCATGATTCCGCCCTGTCCCACGCGCTCCTACCCAGGTGTGTGGCAAGTGCCCATGGTCATGTGGCAGGACTTGAACGGGGGTCGTTGTTCGATGGGTGACGCCTGCTCAAACCCCAGCGACGCCGATGGTGTGACCAAAATGATTATGAAGAACTTTGAGCGACATTACACCACAAACCGGTAAGCTTAAAGCATAAGCCTTAGGTGAGCCCACAGAGTGTTATATATATATATATCATAAATATGAATTTAAAACGCTATTGAGAATTCTAACTTTAGTCTGTACATGTTTTTAATTCACAGCGCCCCTTTCGGCCTGTTCTACCACGCTGCCTGGTTCACGCAGCCCCACCACAAGGAGGGATTCATTAAGTTCCTCGACGCCATCAATGCCATGCAGGATGTCTGGATCATCACCAACTGGCAGGCGCTGCAGTGGGTAAGGGACCCAACGCCGACGTCTCGGATAAACTCCTTCCAGCCATTCCAGTGCGATTACTCGGTGAGTAAACTACAAAGTGATTTTCTAAGGCACATAGTTTATCTTGTAATTATTACTGGCTTTTAACTAGGATCGGCCAAAGCGCTGCAACAACCCCAAGGTGTGCAATCTGTGGCACAAGTCCGGCGTCCGCTACATGAAAACGTGCCAACCCTGCCCCGACATCTACCCCTGGACTGGTAAATCCGGAATCCGATCCTCTCGTATAGACAATGAAAATGTTGAAGAGCCTGCGGCGTAAAACTACAGTCTCGCATAGACACTCAGTGGATTGAGACCTTAGGCTAGAAGCAGTAGGCAATTGGAACACTCAACCGTCCCAGATGCCGAAGAGTAACAGCCACTATATTCATTGAGGCACAAAATACGGAATTCACTCGTTAAATGTTATAAATTCCATGTACTTTAATTCTTTAGGTAATTTTTTAAAGAAATGAAGGACAGGAACGATCATAGTTAATTTCTTTTGGAGCATGTTACATCAAATTATTTATTCCCTCTTATGAACGTATATACTCAATACCTATATCTGTATATTCCTATAGATTGCGACGAATACAATTATACTTGTAGTTGCACACGCAATCCCAACAATAATAGACGTAGAGCAAAGCAATTAGGCGTAAGACCATAGATTATTAAGTACTAATAAATTGCGTTTTTGGTGCACCGAGTCCTTGGATGGGTTGGCATGCCCTTAGGATTTGGCTGCACCAAGGTCGATGGTTTTCTCCAGCCGGAAACACGAAACGCATTTAGAAATTAGGCTAATACTATTCGTGTTTAACTTGTGATAAAGAGTTACATCTGAATTTATGTATTATTAGATGTGCACTACCAGCACCTTCTCGGCACAACATTTTCCCGTTTTTCACATATGCATACTGCAAAGAACACGTCTAAGTTGCAATATTTCCCTGGAACTGGGTACCTTGAAATAGACAAGTCCAAACTCCATACTCCCAATATCAACCCTCATTCTTCTCCGCTTAAAAATCGAAATAAATAAAACTCATAAGGATTTAATACGAGCATTCACGGTTAAAACAGTTTCGAAAGCTATAGTTTCAAAACAGTAATATAATGGAATGCGTAATGGATTCGAGAGGTATTGGAAATACCCATCGATTTCCGTTAAAGTCAGCGAAGACAGGGAGCAATGTATAGGTAGATAGTTAAAATGATACAATTGCCAATACTTAGCCGTTCTGCAGAAAAAAAATAAAAAAAGCTATAAACAACAAACGACGTGCAAGCAAGTTCATCAACTGTAGGTAACATCTAAGGGATAACTAAATATACGAAAGTATTAAAGGGATTCGAAATTAAATAATTAGAGGTAATAGTCGATTAGAACAAGCTGCATATACTATAAGGACATGTAACAATAGACCTAAACTATTCACAGCAGGGCGCAATATAAGATAAATTTCAAGAAACGAGTGAATTAAGTATTTTCTGCTAATGATTGTACAAAATTATACCCTATATATGAGTGAACGTATGTTTATAATAAAATTTACTATTTAAAATAATATCGAATTTGTTGTTTCGAACCAAAACAAAACAATTAAAAGTAAACCCATCAGGTTTTATGATAAGCTTTCGACGCAGGTGTTACAATTAATATACTCGATTTGGAGCCCTATAATTTGGTAAGGTGACGACCCCTAGCGTGCAGCCCCATTATACTTTTTGGGATGGTATAAATAAAGCTGCAAGTCCCGCCAATGCCAACACTTGGAGCACAGCCCCGGAGGACTTAAAGTCGTTATGCTGAGTGCTTGGATATTTGCAGCTCTATTGGCCCTCCAATGGGACGCCGCTACAGGAGCGTCCTTCGAGACTGAGTTGCCAGAAAAATGTGTTAGTCGGCGACTTATTAACCGTTATCAGTTAAATGAGGAAATCTACGGACAAGGGAAGTGCGGAAATAATTATCAGACGAAATATCGAGATAAGCGCCGTGTCGATCCAACTTTCCATGGCAATCCCAAGCCGAGGGCAGATCTTTTGGCCGGCAAATTTCACGTAAATTCGTACAACTTCGATCAGACGAACTCTTTGGTGGGTTTGGTTAAGAAAATAGCCGAGGAGTACCTTAAAAAATGCCCGCCAATCATATATTACGATAGTTTTGTCGAAAAATCAGATGGCCTGATTCTAGAGAACTTATTCAAGGTAAGTTATATCTCAGACTCTGGTTAGCTTAAAAAAGTTACTTATATATTCATAAAGGATTTGTTTCTTTGCAAAACCCCACATACATATTTAAGTTTAGGCTTTAAGTCAATACTTATAGCATTGTGTTTTTTCGCAGACTCTCCCCATTACTTTTTACCATGGCGAGATTAATGCTCGCTATGAAGCAAAAAACTCCCACTTCACAAGCCCTATAGATAGTAATTGCAAAAGTTACATCCTATTCCTTTCGGACCCACTGATGACGCGTAAGATTCTGGGCGCCCAAACAGAAAGTCGGGTGGTCCTCGTCTCTAGGTCAACACAGTGGAAGCTCCGTGACTTTTTGTCTTCGGAACTGTCTTCGAACATTGTCAATTTGCTAGTAATCGGAGAATCCCTTATGGCCGACCCAATGCGAGTAAGTATAAATACCAAGATTTAGGAAATATTTAAGGTCCACTTACCCCTGCCACAGGAACGTCCATACGTGTTGTACACCCACAAGCTATACGCAGATGGCCTCGGCTCTAATGTTCCCGTGGTGCTCACCAGCTGGATAAAGGGAGCTTTGTCCCGACCACACATCAATCTCTTTCCTCCAAAATTCCAAATGGGTTTCGCCGGCCATCGCTTCCAAGTTTCGGCCGCTAATCAGCCGCCCTTTATCTTCCGCATCCGTACTTTGGACTCCTCGGGCATAGGCCAGTTGCGGTGGGACGGCGTGGAGTTTCGGCTTTTGAACATGATCGCAAAGCGCCTAAACTTTTCGGTGGACATCACCGAAACGCCCACGAGAGCCTTAACGCGCGGAGTCGTTGACAACATCCAACAGCAGGTCGTGCAGCGGTCAGTAGATATAGGGATGTCCGGCATTTATATAACCGAGGAGCGGCTGCGAGATTCGGACATGTCCGTGGGACACTCACGTGACTGTGCAGCTTTCATAACGCTGGCGTCAAAAGCGCTTCCCAAGTACAGGGCGATCATGGGACCGTTTCAGTGGCCCGTCTGGGTGGCTCTGATTTGCGTGTACCTAGGAGGCATCTTTCCGATCGTCTTTACCGACCGCCTGACCCTCAGCCACTTGCTGGGCAACTGGGGCGAGATGGAGAATATGTTCTGGTATGTGTTTGGCATGTTTACCAACGCGTTCACATTCAGCGGCAAATACTCATGGAGCAGCACGCAGAAGAACTCTACGCGTCTCCTGATCGGCGCCTACTGGCTATTTACGATAATTATTACTTCTTGTTACACCGGCTCCATCATAGCCTTTGTAACTTTGCCAGCTTTTCCAGATACGGTGGACTCTGTGATGGACCTCCTAGGTCTGTTCTTCCGTGTGGGCACCCTGGGTGAGCAGAGAAGAGAAAGGAAATTTAAGGATGACTCAATTCATAGCAACTTACAGATAATGGGGGATGGGAGACATGGTTCCAAAACTCTACTCACATTCCAACCTCTAGACTGTACAAGAAGATGGAGTTTGTCGGGACCCTAGAGGAAGGCATCGGCAACGTCACGCAGAGCTTCTTCTGGAACTACGCTTTTCTCGGCTCTAAGGCTCAACTGGAGTACTTGGTACAGTCGAACTTCTCGGATGAGTAAGCATGAACATGCCCCCCTCTGCTGCTGCCAAGTATGTAATTTTTTCCTCGTCTAGAAACATATCACGACGATCGGCGCTGCATCTAAGCGAAGAGTGCTTCGCTCTTTTCCAAATAGGACTGCTCTTTCCCCGAGAGGCCGTTTACAAGAGCAAGATAGACTCGATGATCCTGTTGGCGCAACAGAGCGGTCTTATTACCAAAATAAACAACGAGGTAAGCTGGGCCATGCAGCGGTCGGCTTCGGGTCGCTTGCTACAGGCCAGTTCGTCGTCGTCGCTGCGGGAGATCATACAGGAGGAGCGCCAGCTGACCACGGCAGACACGGAGGGGATGTTCTTGCTCATGGCGCTCGGCTACTTTCTGGGAGCCACGGCCCTCGTGTCCGAAATCGTGGGCGGAATAACGAACAAGTGCCGGCAGATCATAAAGCGCTCTCGAAAGCCGGCATCCAGCTCCTGGTCTTCCCGCCACAGTTCGGCCGCCATGGGTGGAGAGCCGCTCACCGAGGCCGAGCAGCAGGCGCACGATGAACGGAAAGCGGCGCGGCGGATCGCCGCCGAGGATGGCCAGAAGATGAGTTTCGGCATGCGCGAGTTTAACCTCACCAGGACGACGCTACGCGAGCTTTACGGCAGCTACAGTAGACCCGATCCGTCCTCCCCTTCTGCGGCGCCCCCCGAGCATGGCCACTCGAATGACATAGTCACCAGATATAGCTACTTGGAAGACGACGAGTCGTCCCGGGAAGCCATCGAGTCGCTGCACCGTTTAGACGACTATATTTCGCAGATGGATGAGTCTTCTCCGCAGCACTTTTTGCCGGACGAAGTGTTTGGTGCACACACTGAACCGCGCGATTCTGAAACACAATAGGCACACATTTAAGAGTACCACTATTTATGTGTGTGTATGTACTTTGCGCACGTTTGCTGGTCGCTCCAGCAATGTAACACGAAACTACATAAAAATTGTCAATAAGAAAGCCTTTCCGCGGATAAATGTATCGATATTCGAGCACACTTACCCCTTCCACCAGTTGCGCATTGCGATCAGCTGTCTTTTAGGGGCCGCAGCCTGCGTGTCCAAAATCTTGCGCATAACCCACAAGCGCCGGCAAACTGGCGCTCCCGACAGTCGGCGCTCTGTTCTTGGTACTCTCCACAGTTCCGCCGACGTGGACGGAGAGCCCGAGCACCGATGCTGAGCAGCGGGCGGCGAACGAACGGGTGGCGGCGCGACAGAACACCGCCCAAAATTGCTATAACATGAGGTTCGGCATGCGCGCCAAGTCGTCCCGGAAAGCCCGCACTGTAAACACCACAATTAAACTATTACTATCACATTGCACACGTTTTTTTTGGTAGCTCCTTCAAAGTCGCTGCTCCACCCAAACAATGCCAATACGGAAATGAAGCGATTTCCGCGGGAAAAATGGATATGTTATCGATTTTTGATGGCAGGTGCCTCCCATCAATCTGGCAACGTCAAATTATAGCAAAGCTTAGCAGGGTTTCCCACCATTAATAATAAATGTTATGAATACTTTTAGGCTTTTAAATCGGCAATCACACTGATATTTTCGTTCAATTAGACATTTAAGTACGGTACGGAGAGGGTAAAACTGTTTTAGGGCGGGACCGTCAATTCAAATACCGAGAAAGAGCGAGAGGCCAATTACTTATTCTATTTTGCCCCCGCTGAGAATATACTAAAAGTATGGCGCCAGGAATGTCCTAACGCCAACCAAATTTCTAGTATTTTGCATTCACGTTGCAGCACCACTCTTTGGGGTGGCGCTCACGAAAAGCCGTTCTAAGCTATATGCCTCTCTCTCCCTCTCACTGCTTTAAAACAGTGTTGTAACATCGTACTTAACTGTGCTAAAAGTGTACAGTTTGCCATTTTTTAGTCTTCTTAAAACGGTCACATAGATCGCCGCTTAAAAATGTCGTCGCGAGGTGCGTCGCGTTGAAGAATTTTTTCCATCAATTATAATACGTGCACAATATCCAGCTCCGCACGGCCGCAATATTTTTGTCTCTACCCGTTATCAGTGTTTATCCATGTTTATTTAATTTTACCAACGAAGCGAAAGCAAATGTGATTAGTGCAAGCCCTTCATAAACATATGTTGTACATAGGTGTGTCAGTGCCGAAGCAAAAATCGTTTATTATTAAGCCACCGCCGTCAGTGCGCAGCGGCAAGTAAATTTGTGCAAGTGTCTTAAAAAGAATTCAAATTTAAAAGCGACAAATATTGTGATCGTAATTGTGTTTATAAAAGGCCTGCCTGCACATTTCAACTACAAGTGTACATAAAAACTTTCGGTGAGTCAGCCACGCAAACTGTATGCAGACATTCTTGTTTTTCTATGGTAATTTCGTTTCTCCACACATATATAACAGTTCGTGGCCATATGCATGTGTGTATGTACATATGAATGGGCAAATGCCGGAGTAAAATGGCAAGTTGTGCGATCGGGGCCGTATAAAAATTAGGTCATTTCGCGTACTTAAATTCAGTTGGTTCAAGCTCACCTATGTAGCTGAATATATTGTATATTAGCTACACTGTAAAACACCGTTCTTTAATAATTGAATTACCTTTGTCAATTGTAATGCAAATGTTGATTGCATGTACATCTATCACGCACACATGCATATATAAGATACACCAACGCGATTTTGTTTTCATGTGCAACGCAGCGTAGCGAGTTCATTAACATGAAATGCATACATACATATTATTGTATGTATGTACGTATATACAAACAAATAATGGCCAGAGCTCGAAGCGAGAGTCGTACTTTTTATAGCAGTTATTTTTAAACTCTTGCAGTAGGAAATCAATATTTATTAGCGTTTTTATGCCCTTCTTCTTGATCAGCATCAACAGTACAGTCGTTCGTTTCTCCGTTTCTACGCAAACTAGTCTCTCAGTTTTTAAGCTATCTGAATCAAACTGTGCAGTTAGTCTTCTATATAATCTCACTATCATATACATAAGTCGGAATAAGACGGATCAGAATGTAAGTAGGCATCACTTCAATGTTTTTCTAACATAAATTTAAATATATCGATTTACAATCTGCTTCCTTTATTGTTTGTCTTTGTTTAACTTGTTAATCATAATTTTGTATATAACCCTAACGTGTCGGTTCTTTCAATCGCAACTGATTTTATGTATACTTTTGTTTTGTCTCCTCACTCGTTGTCACGCTCAGTTATTTATGTAGCGATGAAGGTATATCCAGTTACATAGAATTTTACATAGCTACACAGTTTGCCACGATACAACCGCCTACAAACGTTTCCCCCCGACGTCCATTAACAATCTCTCCACAACTCGTTTAGCAAGTCTTCAAGCCGCGAGTTCTTGTTGACTCTTAAAAAGTTTTATATTTTTTTATATCAGAAAATAATGGCTTTTAAAAAGTCATAATATTTAAATTTAAAATACTAAGGCTATTAAAAATTAAAGTTTTAAACTTATATTAATTTAAAGGTAAAGGTATTTAGAAACACTGCGTCATGATTTTAGCTTAATTGAACAAAAATTTTTAAATAACACTGACGAATGCAAGAAAAATATTAATAATATTGATAAACTTTATTAATTTTTTATTTTGATTTATTTTCAGGCAAGAGGGCGCAAAATATAAGTAAAAGAGGTTATCCACAAAAAATCGCAGGAACAATGTTAAAGTTTATACGAGGAAAGGGTCAACAGCCCACGGCGGAGAGACAACGCTTGCAGAAGGATCTATTCGCTTATCGCAAGGTAACTAAAATAGCCATTGAAGAGTAGTAGTCGCTTTTTCATCAGTTTTTTTTATAAACTACCTCATACTATCTCAATACCTTTTCAGACTAGCCACACCCAGTTGCCAGAAACTTTCTTTGAGTCTTGTGTGGGGAATGCAGGCTGTTATCTCTGTAGGTTGAAGCACACACATCTGCTGCATTATTAGATAGTAGGCGTCCAAAAAAAGAGTCTTTTTAAATGACCGAACCAGTTGACATATTCAATTAAGGGGTCGACTATATTTAATTCAGTATTTTTTTTTGTTTCGGTAACATATGCTTACCGAGAGAAGAGGGAATGTTGAGACCATAAAATATTCAAGTACTGCAAATGATATTAGTGAACACCATTCGTCAGCTGCCGAGAACGGTCCTTAATATAGAAAAATTCTTGTTTAAGCTTTCAAAGCATTTTGCCTATGCCTCATATTATACTTTTGTAAATAACACTTCAACATATACGCGAGGTACCCCACCGACTATGTCTTCGAGTTCGTAGCGACGATAGTTTGAATGACATCATCCGCAGTTCTTTCCCAAAATTGTCCATTCACACGAATGTTTTTGAATTATCATAGCTGCCTGGCTTATAGTGACACTGAGGTTCAATTTTACTCCTAGTCAACAAATTTTGCCTTGGAATTTAGGCTATATTACATCTGAGTCCCTTCAAATTAAAAGCCTTCCGCTTTTTAAATTAGTCAGCAACATCGTGTAGCCTAGCACAAACGCATTAATCATCAAGCAAGCACACAAAGCAATCAGGGCAAATATAGTCGCCAGCCAGTGCAACGAAGGGAGTGTAGTTGATAAGATTAGCTTTATTTGCTTTTTGGGCCGGGTAAATGGTTAGTTTTCAGAAATACCACCATATCGTACGAAACGAAATATTTGATTATGTATGTAGATAGCCGCAATAGAAACTGCTGATAAGATAAAAAAAAGAAAACTTACAAAGAACCGAGGTTAAAAATTGCAGCACCTGTAAGTGGGTCAAAACACCATGAACCAACTGCTACCTTCAGCTCTTTTACTATATTACTCAGATTACAGCGCATACGGCGTACAGCAAGCTCTAAAAAACCAAACGTGCTTTTCTATGTATATTGTCAAAATAATACAATTATTATAAAATAAGTTTAATGTGTTAAATTTTTGTTATTATTTTTCAGTATTTTTATATAAAACGAACTAAATTGGGAATTGGCTTTGCTTTTTTAAAATGTGCGAAGAACCACAGCTATTCATGGTTCTGGAAGGGCCATGGCTAGATCGTCTCGTCTGTTGGTGCTGATGAAGAATATATGTACACTATAGGGTCGGCAATGTCTCCTTCACTCGTTGCAAACTTCTCACTAAAATTACAATACCCTGCAAGGGTATAATAAAAAATTGAATTGCTTCTTTGTCTTTTAACATAAATATAAATAATTTAAATTCTATATAAAAATTGATTATCGAGTTGCAACCTGAAAGGGTATTCAAACTTCGGCGTGGCAAATTGTGTTATTTGTTAAACCTATGATGCATTAGATAAGATAACAAATATTAATCGGAAAAGGTGAGCGGGACTTAAACCCCCCGCACTTTCCTTAAATATTTCAAAATCACACTTGTTAATTTGGTAATTTAATTATTTTTTCAGACTGCACAGCATGGCTTTCCTCACAAGCCATCTGCATTGGCATATGATCCTGTCGCAAAACTAATGGCGATTGGCACGCAAACAGGAGCTATAAAAGTCTTTGGCCAGCCCGGTGTAGAACTGTACGGACAGCACACGCTGGTGAGCAATTCTGCAGCAGAGCTCAATGTTCAGTTACTGGAATGGGTATACGGCACAGGTCGCATCCTTTCATTAACAGTAGCAAATCAACTAATACTGTGGGAGCCTGTTGGAACCACATTGGTGCCAATTAAAACACTGCCTTTCGACGGAAAGCTTAAAAAAGTATCTTCCCTCTGCTGTTCCTCAAACAAAGATGTGCTGTGGATTGGAACGGAAGGTGGCAACATCTACCAACTCGATCTGCATACCTTTACAATAAGAGAGGATGTAGTTTACCATGACGTTGTGTTGGAACAGGTGCCCCCCGCTTACAAATTAAATCCAGGTGCAATTGAGTCAATTCGCCAACTTCCAAATGAGCCGAATAAGCTGTTAATTGCCTACAACCGTGGCCTTTGTGTTTTGTGGGATTTCGAATCGTCTTCCGTTGAGCGAGCTTATATAGCCCCTGGACATGGTCAAAGCGTTGGACTTTCAGTCGATGTTGCTGGATCTGAATTCAGCTGGTATCATGCGGACGGTTCGTATGCAACCTGGAACATCGATACCGCCGAACCGCCGCAGAATGTTAACTATGTCCCCTACGGCCCAGATCCATGCAAGAGCATCAATCGTCTGTACAAGGGGAAGCGAGGGTAAATATACTTAGCAACCCCGAACGACAAATAAGATAACTAAAATTTAATGTTTTTCAGAAACAACGATGTTATTATTTTCTCCGGCGGCATGCCGCGCTCGGCGTATGGAGATCATAATTGCGTATCTGTACACGTGAGCGATGGACAAAAAGTGTGTCTTGACTTTACGTCTAAAGTTATTGACTTCTTTGTCACCTACAAAGATGATAGCGACGTTGCTGAAGTGTTGATTGTACTCCTCGAAGAGGAGTTCTGTGCCTACGACCTCACAGACTCTAATATTTCCGCCATCAAGGCGCCATACCTTCACTCAGTACACGCATCTGCAGTTACATGCAACTACTTGACATCCCAAGTCACTCAGAGCGTGTATGACCGTATTCTCAGAGCGGGCGATAAACAAGATATTGACTACAGCAATATTGACTGGCCAATCACCGGCGGTGTATTACAAGATAGTAATCCTCAATCTGATGAGGAGGACGAGGGTCCGGGGTATGAAATCCTTTTGACCGGCCATGAAGATGGCTCTGTTAAATTCTGGGATTGTACCGGAGTATTGCTTAAACCCATTTACAACTTTAAAACTGACATCATTTTTGGAAACGAGCATGAAAATAGGGATGATGCTGCTGCAGATATTAGTGTGGATCACCTTAGTGCTGAACAACTGGATGAGGGAGAGCCGCCATTTCGGAAATCCGGACTCTTTGATCCATACTCCGATGATCCTCGGTTGGCTGTAAAAAAAATAGCGCTCTGCCCACACACAGGACAGTTAATTGTTGGCGGTACAGCAGGCCAGATTGTTATTGCAGATTTCGACGACACTTCTGACGCAAGGGACTCTTTAAAATACAATTGCATGAATTTGGTCAGCGACCGCGATGGATTCGTATGGAAGGGTCATGATCAGCTAAACGTGCGGCCAAACCTTTTGGAAGAAGCCGCCAGTCCGCTAACTGAAAACGGCGTGAATATAACAGGAGTGCTCCAGGTCTTGCCGCCAGCCAGCATCACTTGCATGGCACTTGAAGCGAACTGGGGTCTTGTGTCCGGTGGAACTGCGCATGGACTAGTGCTGTTTGATTTTAAGAACTTTGTTCCTGTCTTTCACCGATGCACATTAAATCCAAACGATCTTACTGGCGCCGGTGAGCAATTGTCTCGTCGAAAGTCGTTTAAAAAATCACTGCGGGAGTCATTTAGGAAGCTTCGTAAGGGTCGATCAACACGAAACAATCCCACCAATCAAGTGCCAACAACTGTAAGTATCCTTATTCAAGAAGGATGCCTAATCCCGTAAAGCCTTATTTAGATTTTCCGCCCTAAGGATTTTTGTAGGGTGTCTCATGGTAATTTTTTTGTTATTTTAATTTGTGCTTGCAGCTAGAAGCGCGGCCTATTGAGCGGCAAATTGAGGCACGCAATACTGACGACGGTCTGGGTTCGATGGTGCGGTGTTTGTTATTCGCGAAAACTTATGTTACTAACGGTAAGTACGCTATTTATGTTGAATTTCCACCCAGCCTCCATTTATTGTATACAATGTACGTGCCACTTATTAATTGCATTAAACAAACTCCGGTCTTTTCTACAAATAAAATCGTTTGCCCGTTATTTGTTGCAAATATTTAATATTAAGGTGTAGTATGTAATTGGTTTGCAAACGATTCCAGCTTAAAAATTTCCGGACCCAGGTTTTAGTTATTTTTATGATGTGTGAATAATGATTACTTTTATATAACAAATTGTTTATTTACATCCATTCCAGTCAACATAACGTCGCCTACTTTGTGGTCAGCAACCAATTCCAGTACAGTGTCTGTGTTTCTTTTGCACTTGCCGCCAGCTCAGACCGCCGCGACTTCGGTTCCGCCGGCAAGCGGGAATGCTTCTCCACAGACTCCACGTCGCATTTCTGCACAGCTTGCCAAAGAGATTCAACTGAAACATCGTGCGCCTGTGGTAGGAATTTCCATTTTCGATCAGACAGGCTGCCCTGTAGATCAGTTAAACGCCGGAGAAAACGGAACACCTCCACATCGCCTTCTTATTGCTTCCGAAGAGCAATTTAAAGTATTTTCACTACCGCAATTAAAGCCGATTAATAAGTATAAGCTAACCGCCCACGAAGGGGCTCGCATTCGACGCATTCACTTTGGATCATTTTATTGCCCCATATCGCCGGAGTTGTTGCAAAGTCTTCACGCTAACAGCCCCACCAAGTCCACACGATCACATGGCGATGGAGATGGTCCTGTGAATATCAGTGGAAGGTCCGGTGCTGGGCGTAGAGAGATGTACCACGAAATGGCTTTGATTTGTTTGACCAACATGGGCGATATTATGGTTTTGTCAGTGCCTGAGCTAAAAAGACAACTTAATGCGGCCGCCGTGCGACGTGAAGATATCAAGCAAGTTGAACTTTAATTAAGTATGAATAACAAAGTGAATTACTTGTAACGTATTTTTTTTTCTTAGTGGGATTTCGTCACTTTGTTTTACCAATGATGGTGAAGCTCTATACATGATGTCTTCTTCTGAGCTGCAGCGTATTGCTCTAGCAACGTCCAAAGTCGTACAACCAACTGGCATTGTTGAAGTTGAGCCCTTGGAGACCGAAGGTTCAGCACTGCAATCGAATGACGGGGAAGAGAGTGATAAGGAAACGGACGCCAATAATGAGGTGGTTAATAATGCCGAAATCAAGGAGCTGCCGGTGGCTACGCAACGCTCGAAGACAGTTGAGGTTAGCGTAGACCGGAATAGCCTTCATCTAACCAATGGAGTCAGCAATAGCAACTCACCCAACCGTGCCAACGAGACCATCACTAGCTCCATAGGTGACATTACCGTTGACTCTGTGCGTGACCATTTAAACACTACGACAACCACATTGTGTTCCACAACTACAGAGGAGACTGTGGGTAAGTAAACCACGTAAACCACGTAGCCACGTAGCGTTCACTTCAGTGTGTTGTCTTATAAAACAATCGTTAAGTTTGCATACTTTTATGTTTTTGTATTACTCCATATCGGTCTTCAGTTCGGTTCTAAATTCAACAATTCAAATTCTTAATGTTTTATTTACTTCTTGATTTTAGATATGCGCCGCAACCGACAATAAAAACAGTTTAATATTCCTTGTATTAATACAGTCGCACCTTTTACCCAGAGTTTTGCATGCATCTTATATTTATTCTGCTGTTTTATTATTATTCATGATGATATCCATATATAAATATAGGTCGCTTATCAGTGCTTAGCACGCAAACCAACCAAGCAACTACCACCGTGAACATGAATGACATTCCGGATATTAATATACCCAACCTAATGGACTTAAAATCAAAAAGGTGATTATATCTATTGCGCTATATTTTTGATGTGAATTAAACCAACGTTTGAAAATAAAACGCTACTTTGTAGTTTTTTATTTTTAATGCTCTTAAACTTCTAGAGGAATTCTGCTATAAATTTATTTGTATTACTCTTCCTGTTAAAGAGTAAAAAATGCGAACCCTAAATAAATTCCATTAACCTTTATTCTTTACCCAACAGCAACACTTCGGAAACGAGCACTAGTTCAGTGGTAATAAAATCAGTTATCACCAGCATATCACATGAAAAGACAAACGGAGAAAGCGAGACAAGGACGACAAGGACGACAACGCACGAAGAAAGTGAATTTTAATATTAAACTTTATAGTTTACCTATCATCAAAACAGGATGAGGTCAAAATAATATCAAATGAAGGAGACCCACAATTTAAATTCATTTATAAGCATAAGATCTGATATATTTTGATATGGATTTTATGAACATTGTTTTGTATTCAATAACTTTCCTAAAAGCTTTTTGCCATGGGCTTGATTTTCTATTATTCTGACCCCAACCATATTGCAAGCTTTTGCATATGTGTTTTACATATGTACATATTGACTTTTAAAATACAAGATCACCATGGCAATTATCAGTCCACAGCAACTATTGCATTTTTAAAACATTTTTTAACTATATTGCAAGTTATTATACAATTTAAACTTATATTTGAGCATTTATTGTACCCCTGACAATTCGTTCGCTTTTACAAGTATTAAATGGAATTTACTTCTTTTTTAAGTATTATTATTTTAAAGACAAAGTTAAAAAATGAGAGCGATTGCATTTCGACCATTGATTATTACATTACAAGCCCAATAAAACCGCCAATTTTAGCTAAATAATAATCAAAAAAATACATTTTTTTCTAAACGACTGGACGGATTTTGATTAAACATCTACCAAAATACTTCGCAAGGCCATGCCGTTAGTTGGACCAATCTTTTTTTTTATATTTAATTCAAAAACTTAATATTTTTAAATTTAGTATTTTTTATCATGGCTCCGTTCGTTGGTTCAGAAATTGGTTCTGTGCTGGTTCACATCTAGTTCCATTGGACCAAGCTGTTTTTGAATATTTAATTCATGTAGCTAATATTTTTAAATCCAGTATATTTTAGTTTAGGTTCCGTTTTCTGGTTCTGTGCAGGTTCACATCTAGTTCCATGGTTCGATAACGGGCATGGCGGCAACTGTGAGGAACCAGATGTGAACCTCCGGAGAACCAGTCGCTGAACCAGACAACGTTAACAGTAGCAACACAAAATATTTAGCTATAAACCGCTGCTGTATTTGGCTTGTAAAAAATAATAGAAAAATTACAATGGTTCCATGGTACCATGACAAACGTGCCGTGATCTACGATGAACCAGATGTGAACCTGCAGATAACCAGTAGCTGAAACAGACAACGTTAACAGTAGCAACACAAAATTTTTAGCTATAATCCGCTAATGTATTTGGCTTGTAAATATTAATTAATTTTGAAACACGTACCAAAATGTTAAGAAAGCCCATATCGTTAATAAAGCATATAACATTTTGAACATATAATTAAACAAATTGGTAAAATTTTCCGTTACTAACGGTTCAGTTTTCTGGTTCAGCGAACCAGTGGCTGGACAAGACAACGTAAACAGTAGAAACAAAATATTTAGCTTTCAAACGCTGTTGTATTTGGATTGTAAAAAAAAAAAACAATTACATTGGTTCCATAACGAACGAGCCGTGATCTACGACGAACCAGATATGAACCTGCAGAGAAACAGTGGCTGAACGAGACAACGTTAACAGTAGCAACACATAATATTTAGCTATAAACCGCTGTTGTATTTGGCTTGTAAAAAATAATCGAAAAATTACATTGGTTCCATGGTTCCATAACGAACGAGCCGTGATCCACGACTAACCAGATGTGAACCTGCAGAAAACCAGTGGCTGAACGAGACAACGTTAACAGTAGAAACACAAAATATTTAGCTATAATCCGCTGTTGTATTTGGCTTGTAAAAAATAATCGAAAAATTATATTGGTTCCATGGTTCCATAACGAACGAGCCGTAATCCACGTCTAACCAGATGTGAACCTGCAGAGAACCAGTGGCTGAACGAGACAACGTTAACAGTAGCAACACAAAATATTTAGCTATAATCCGCTAATGTATTTGGCTTGTAAAATAAACAAAATTACATTGGTTCCATGGTTCCATAACGAACGCGCCGTAATCCACGTCTAACCAGATGTGAACCTGCAGAGAACCAGTGGCTGAACGAGACAACGTTAACAGTAGAAACACAAAATATTTAGCTATAATCCGCTGTTGTATTTGGCTTGTAAAAAATAATCGAAAAATTATATTGGTTCCATGGTTCCATAACGAACGAGCCGTGATCTACGACGAACCAGATGTGAACCTGCAGAGAACCAGTGGCCGAAACAGACAACGTTAACAGCAGCAACACATAATATTTAGCTATAAACCGCTGTTGTATTTGGCTTGTAAAAAATAATCGAAAAATTACATTGGTTCCATAACGAACGAGCCGTGATCTACGACGAACCAGATGTGAAGCTGCAGAGAACCAGTGGCTGAACGAGACGACGTTAACAGTAGCAACACAAAATATTTAGCTTTCAAACGCTGTTGTATTTGGATTGTAAAAAAAAAAAACAATTACATTGGTTCCATAACGAACGAGCCGTGATCTACGACGAACCAGATATGAACCTGCAACACATAATATTTAGCTATAAACCGCTGTTGTATTTGGCTTGTAAAAATAATCGAAAAATTACATTGGTTCCATAACGAACGAGCCGTGATCTACGACGAACCAGATGTGAAGCTGCAGAGAACCAGTGGCTGAACGAGACGACGTTAACAGTAGCAACACAAAATATTTAGCTATAATCCGCTGTTGTATTTGGCTTGTAAAAAATAATCGAAAAATTATATTGGTTCCATGGTTCCATAACGAACGAGCCGTAATCCACGTCTAACCAGATGTGAACCTGCAGAGAACCAGTGGCTGAACGAGACAACGTTAACAGTAGCAACACAAAATATTTAGCTATAATCCGCTAATGTATTTGGCTTGTAAAATAAACAAAATTACATTTGTTCCATGGTTCCATAACGAACGCGCCGTAATCCACGTCTAACCAGATGTGAACCTGCAGAGAACCAGTGGCTGAACGAGACAACGTTAACAGTAGAAACACAAAATATTTAGCTATAATCCGCTAATGTATTTGGCTTGTAAAAAATAATCGAAAAATTATATTGGTTCCATGGTTCCATAACGAACGAGCCGTGATCTACGACGAACCAGATGTGAACCTGCAGAGAACCAGTGGCCGAAACAGACAACGTTAACAGCAGCAACACATAATATTTAGCTATAAACCGCTGTTGTATTTGGCTTGTAAAAAATAATCGAAAAATTACATTGGTTCCATAACGAACGAGCCGTGATCTACGACGAACCAGATGTGAAGCTGCAGAGAACCAGTGGCTGAACGAGACGACGTTAACAGTAGCAACACAAAATATTTAGCTATAATCCGCTGTTGTATTTGGCTTGTAAAAATAATCGAAAAATTATATTGGTTCCATGGTTCCATAACGAACGAGCCGTAATCCACGTCTAACCAGATGTGAACCTGCAGAGAACCAGTGGCTGAACGAGACAACGTTAACAGTAGCAACACAAAATATTTAGCTATAATCCGCTAATGTATTTGGCTTGTAAAATAAACAAAATTACATTGGTTCCATGGTTCCATAACGAACGCGCCGTAATCCACGTCTAACCAGATGTGAACCTGCAGAGAACCAGTGGCTGAACGAGACAACGTTAACAGTAGAAACACAAAATATTTAGCTATAATCCGCTAATGTATTTGGCTTGTAAAAAATAATCGAAAAATTATATTGGTTCCATGGTTCCATAACGAACGAGCCGTGATCTACGACGAACCAGATGTGAACCTGCAGAGAACCAGTGGCCGAAACAGACAACGTTAACAGCAGCAACACATAATATTTAGCTATAAACCGCTGTTGTATTTGGCTTGTAAAAAATAATCGAAAAATTACATTGGTTCCATAACGAACGAGCCGTGATCTACGACGAACCAGATGTGAAGCTGCAGAGAACCAGTGGCTGAACGAGACGACGTTAACAGTAGCAACACAAAATATTTAGCTTTCAAACGCTGTTGTATTTGGATTGTAAAAAAAAAAAACAATTACATTGGTTCCATAACGAACGAGCCGTGATCTACGACGAACCAGATGTGAAGCTGCAGAGAACCAGTGGCTGAACGAGACGACGTTAACAGTAGCAACACAAAATATTTAGCTATAATCCGCTGTTGTATTTGGCTTGTAAAAAATAATCGAAAAATTATATTGGTTCCATGGTTCCATAACGAACGAGCCGTAATCCACGTCTAACCAGATGTGAACCTGCAGAGAACCAGTGGCTGAACGAGACAACGTTAACAGTAGCAACACAAAATATTTAGCTATAATCCGCTAATGTATTTGGCTTGTAAAATAAACAAAATTACATTGGTTCCATGGTTCCATAACGAACGCGCCGTAATCCACGTCTAACCAGATGTGAACCTGCAGAGAACCAGTGGCTGAACGAGACAACGTTAACAGTAGAAACACAAAATATTTAGCTATAATCCGCTAATGTATTTGGCTTGTAAAAAATAATCGAAAAATTATATTGGTTCCATGGTTCCATAACGAACGAGCCGTGATCTACGACGAACCAGATGTGAACCTGCAGAGAACCAGTGGCCGAAACAGACAACGTTAACAGCAGCAACACATAATATTTAGCTATAAACCGCTGTTGTATTTGGCTTGTAAAAAATAATCGAAAAATTACATTGGTTCCATAACGAACGAGCCGTGATCTACGACGAACCAGATGTGAAGCTGCAGAGAACCAGTGGCTGAACGAGACGACGTTAACAGTAGCAACACAAAATATTTAGCTTTCAAACGCTGTTGTATTTGGATTGTAAAAAAAAAAACAATTACATTGGTTCCATAACGAACGAGCCGTGATCTACGACGAACCAGATATGAACCTGCAGAGAACCAGTGGCTGAACGAGACAACGTTAACAGTAGCAACACAAAATATTTAGCTATAAACCGCTGTTGTATTTGGCTTGTAAAAAATAATCGAAAAATTACATTGGTTCCATGGTTCCATAACGAACGAGCCGTGATCCACGACTAACCAGATGTGAACCAGTAGCTGAACGAGACAACGTTAACAGCAGCAACACAAAATATTTAGCTATAAACCGCTGCTGTATTTGGCTTGTAAAAAATAATCGAAAAATTACATTGGTTCCATAAGGAACGAGCCGTGATCTACGACGAACCAGATGTGAAGCTGCAGAGAACCAGTGGCTGAACGAGACAACGTTAACAGTAGCAACACATAATATTTAGCTATAAACCGCTGTTGTATTTGGCTTGTAAAGAATAATAGAAAAATTACATTGGTTCCATGGTTCCATGATGAACGAGCCGCGATCTACGGCGAACCATGTGTGAACCTGCAGAGAACCAGTGGCTGAACCAGACAACGTAAACAGTAGCTATATTTATAATCAAAAATTACGAAAAATCAATTTTTTCTGAACGACTGAACGGACTTTTTTGAAACACATACCAAAATGTTAAGAAAGCCCATTACGTTAATAAAGCATACAGTTTTTGCACATCTAATTCATCAAATTGGTAATTGTTTCAGTTGCTAATGGTTCCGTTTTCTGGTTCCTGTCGTTAATACAGCATACATTTTTTTTGAACATTTAATTCATCAAATTGGTCAAATCTTCCGTTGCTAATGGTTCAGTTTTCTGGCTTAGCGAACCAGTGGATGAATCAGAAAACGAAAACAGTAGTGACGCAAAATATTTAGCTTTAAGCCGCGGTTTCATTTGGCTTGAAAATAATAATAAACGAAATATTTCATTGGTTCCATGGTTCCATGACGAAGGTGCCGTGATCTACGGCGAACCAGATGTGAAACTACAGAGAACCAGTGGCTGAACCAAACAACGTAAACACTAGCCACTTAAAATATTTAGCTATAAACAGCGGTTTTATTTGGCGTGTAAATAATATTAATCATAATAAACGGATTTCGGTAAAACACATAACAAAAGACCTAGAGGAGCCATTTCGATAATTGGACATATATTTTTTCGAACAGTTGCAGAAAATAAAAATATTTCCAGTTGCTAATGGTTACTTTGTGTGGTTCGGGGACTGGATAACGCGTTTTTAACACTATCCGATTTGGTATTATTTGTTGCTGGTGTGACCGATTGTCGGCGCGCTTCTGAGTTTTTAGTCGACGCCATATCGATACCAGCACCAATGTATTGTCTATATATTACTATCGATATGTCGATGATTTGTCTTTTAAAAACATAACGTCACGCCGGAAATCGGAGCGAAAGGAAATAAAGAAAACAAAAATATCAATAACGGCGCTCATCCCCTTTTTTGTTTAACTGTATTAATGTTTTGTTTAAATTATTGCAGCGACGCCAGCAGAGCAGAAGCAGCGGAATACCAGGGGCTGCAACAGCGGCAGAAAACAATATGTGTGGTTCCATAACGAACGAGCCGTGATCTACGACGAACCAGATATGAACCTGCAGAGAACCAGTGGCTGAACGAGACAACGTTAACAGTAGCAACACAAAATATTTAGCTATAAACCGCTGTTGTATTTGGCTTGTAAAAAATAATCGAAAAATTACATGATGAACGAGCCGCGATCTACGGCGAACCATGTGTGAACCTGCAGAGAACCAGTGGCTGAACCAGACAACGTAAACAGTAGCTATATTTATAATCAAAAATTACGAAAAATCAATTTTTTCTGAACGACTGAACGGACTTTTTTGAAACACATACCAAAATGTTAAGAAAGCCCATTACGTTAATAAAGCATACAGTTTTTGCACATCTAATTCATCAAATTGGTAATTGTTTCAGTTGCTAATGGTTCCGTTTCTGGTTCCTGTCGTTAATACAGCATACATTTTTTTTTGAACATTTAATTCATCAAATTGGTCAAATCTTCCGTTGCTAATGGTTCAGTTTTCTGGCTTAGCGAACCAGTGGATGAATCAGAAAACGAAAACAGTAGTGACGCAAATATTTAGCTTTAAGCCGCGGTTTCATTTGGCTTGAAAATAATAATAAACGAAATATTTCATTGGTTCCATGGTTCCATGACAAAGGTGCCGTGATCTACGGCGAACCAGATGTGAAACTACAGAGAACCAGTGGCTGAACCAAACAACGTAAACACTAGCCACTTAAAATATTTAGCTATAAACAGCGGTTTTATTTGGCGTGTAAATAATATTAATCATAATAAACGGATTTCGGTAAAACACATAACAAAAGACCTAGAGGAGCCATTTCGATAATTGGACATATATTTTTTCGAACAGTTGCAGAAAATAAAAATATTTCCAGTTGCTAATGGTTACTTTGTGTGGTTCGGGGACTAGATAACGCGTTTTTAACACTATCCGATTTGGTATTATTTGTTGCTGGTGTGACCGATTGTCGGCGCGCTTCTGAGTTTTGAGTCGACGCCATATCGATACCAGCACCAATGTATTGTCTATATATTACTATCGATATGTCGATGATTTGTCTTTTAAAAACATAACGTCACGCCGGAAATCGGAGCGAAAGGAAATAAAGAAAACAAAAAATATCAATAACGGCGCTCATCCCCTTTTTTGTTTAACTGTATTAATGTTTTGTTTAAATTATTGCAGCGACGCCAGCAGAGCAGAAGCAGCGGAATACCAGGGGCTGCAACAGCGGCAGAAAACAATATGTGTGAAAGCGAGACGACCGGAATGTGTGTGGTAATCTCTTTTTTGTGGTTTTTTGACTGAATCAATGTTTTATCTGTATTATTGCAGCGACGCCAGCAGAAAAGCAGAGGCAGCGACAAGATCAGCAGAGAAACAGGGATGGCAACAGCAGCTGCAAAAAAATACGCGTGAAAGCGGGACGACCGGTATGTGTATGGTTATCTCTTTTTTCTTGTTTTTTTTTAATTGAATCAATGTTTTATTTGTATTATTGCAGCGACGCCAGCAGAAAAACAGAGGCAGGGGCAAGATCAGCAGAGAAACAAAGATGGCAACAGCAGCTGCAAAAAGAATACGCGTGAAAGCAGGACGACCGGTATGTTTCTGGTTATCTTTTTTTTGTAGTATTCTAACTGAATAAATGTTTAATATGTATTGCAGCGACGCCAGTAGACAAACAGAGGCAGTGGAAAGATCAGCAGAAAAACAGGGACAGCAACAGCGGCTCCAAAAGGAACATGCGTGAAAGCGAGACGACCGGTATGTGTGTGGTTATCTCTTTTTTGTTGTTTTTTTTTTAAATGAATCAATGTCTTATTTGTATTATTGCAGCGACGCCAGCAGAAAAGCAGAGGCAGCGGCAAGATCAGCAGAGAAACAGGGACAAAAACAGCGACTGCAATAATAATATGTGAAAAAGCGAGACGACCGATATGTCCTTTAATCGCTTTTCAGTGGTGTCTTTAACTAAAGCAATGTTTTATTTGTATTGTTGCAGCGACGCCAGTAGAGCAGCAGTAAAAACGGCCAGATAAGCAGTGAATAAGTGGCAAAAGCAGCTGCAGCATAAAGAATATGCGTGGAAGAGAGACGTCCGGTAGGTGTGCGATGATCTCTTTTGCGGTTCCTTTAACTAAATCGATATATTATTTGAATTATTGCAGCGTCTCCGGCAGAGCAAAAAGTCCAGCATAAGCAGCAGGGCAGAGCAGAGGCAGCAGCAAATCAAATAAATATTATATTACCACAAACAAAATATTTTAATATGATTCCACTCATTATCCGTTATATTTAAACTTATTTAATATTTAAATTTAAATTACGCGCGAAAGCGAAAGGGGTGGCAAGGTTAGCGCGAGATCAAAAGGTTGGCAACGCCATATGCTCCAGTATTTGGAGTTGCCAGACTCGGATTTAGTTAAGTTCTCACCCTTTGTGTACCAATCTTGGCGATATCGCCATATTAAATTTTAGTATGTATTTATTGGTATATTACACGCTATTTCAAAGCAAGCACACTGAAAAGAATGGTGCCAATGTTATTAAAGCGACGCCATCGTCGCAGATGGAGCTGCGGCATTAAAAGCAGAGCAGCAAAGGCAACAGAAGGGGCAGAAAGAACAATATGCGTGAAAACGAGACGACTGGTATGTGCGCGGCTATCTCTTTTTTGTTGTTCAACTAATTCAATATTTTATGTGTATTGCAGGTACGTCAGCAGAGCAGCGGCAGGAACAGCGAAACAACAGGGTCAGTAGCAGCGGCAGGAAAAAGAATATGGGTGTAAGCGGGACGACAGGTATTTGTGCGATCATCACTTTTTTGTGGTTTGTTTTATTAAGCCGATGCTTTATTTGTATTGCAGCGACGCTAGCAGAGCAGCAAGAGCATCGGATAAGACGGCAAAACAACAGAGGCAGGATCAGCGGCATTAAAAATTATATGCATAAAAGCGAGACGACCGGTATGTGTGCAATCATTGTGTTTTTTTTTAGCTATGCTGTTTTTAAATGTATTGCAGCGACGCCAGCAGAGCAGCAAGAGCTGCGGATGGAGCAGAATAGTAATAAAAGAGCAGCAGAGGCAGCAAATAAATATGCGTGAAAGCGAGATGACCGGTAAGTGCGCGATCATTTCTTTTTTGTGGTTTTCTTGGAAAATCATTGTTCTTTTATTTATTGCAGTGACGCCATCATACAAGCGTTACGAAGAGAAGAAAAACAAAGGCAGCAGCAGCAAAAATGATATACGTGTAAGGGGGACGATTGTCAGATTTGTTTATCACTTTTTTGTGGCTTGTTTGACTACATCAAACTTTTATTTTTGTTATTGCAGTGACGCCAGCCGACATCAGCATCAGCGGCGGCAGCAGCAGAGGAACATGGCAGCAGACTTCAGACGCTAGTTCGACGCGACCGCACGCCATTGGGATCTATATAAAAGTGAGGAGGAAATAGATTTAAAGGAATCTGCGTCAATGCCAAAGGTTAGTGGCAACGAATTTGTGTGCGGAACAGCTCGAGACGCAAGTGGAAGCCTTGTTTACGTTTCTCTTTGTAATAACCGCTAGAAGATGCAGCCACGTGTAATTGGAGTGAATGAAAGAAATATATGTTTTGATTTTTTTGTTCCCCGTCTTTCTATGCACTTGTAGAAGCATATTTGCACTACTCTTGCTTTTATATTGTTTTTATTTTAGAAATTACTGTTCAAGGTTCCGTTACTATCATTGTTTGCTCTTGCGCCTTATTTGGTGGCATTTTAAAGCAAGAGAGGCACATGGGGAGAATATGATCCGCAGTTATTTATATTTGAAAGCCTACTGCCGTTGTCTACATCATTGTTTAGCTAATTAAAAATTAAAAAGGCCAATTGGTGGAAACTGGTACTCAAAACGATGGCAAAACCTAGTAAAGCTTAAACTATATAAACATATATTAATTTTTAGCATATACTTAAATTATTTTGTATGCCGATTTTAGTCATTTTTAAAACTTGTTTTTGGACGATTTATTATAACTTTTTGATAACTTTCCGACTAATAATCAATACCATTCGAAAGCAATTTTTCGATAACTTTTAGACCACTTTCCGA